ACCTTCCGCCATATAAAGGATATTCAACAACACCACAACTATCTGTTCAAATAAATAAATTGCAATATCTATTTCATGAGAGAGTACTAAATCTGCATGTTCTATTTTTTTATCTATGTTCCAAAGACCAGAAATCGGATGGAACAGCACGAGGAAAAAGAATTTACCTTTGTTAACATTTTACATCATTGTTAGGCATAACCAAAGATGCGTTCAAAGATCGACTTAATACACAAAACAAGAAATTAAACTAGTGAACACATCCGAAACAAAGACGTGGTGGCTCAGTCAGGAAAGCCCTTGGCCACCAACTATGCAGGGGTTCTCGGGTTCGCTCCCTGTATTAGCCGAGCAAATTTCTCAGGATATTCAATCGTGGTTTCCCGTTGTCAGTGTTGCAGAAACGGGGGCCTGGCAAGGAACAGTCTCTAGCAATTTAGATGGGTCAAACAAAAGTTGCACAAATTAACTCCGACAGTTAGATTCCGAAAAAGAGTCGGCTGTAGAGTCGCTGTCCGGGCAAAATTTCACTCATAACAGGTTAGAGTATAAAAATAAAAATTGGATCATTTGTTTTACATCCACTTTTTTTTAACCTTACCTGTCCACTTCTCGGATCCATAAAATGTTGTAATATTGATTGATCCTATTCCTGGATAATTCAGAATAAAACACGTGTTGGAATCGTAGTGAAATAATTCACAATCGGGTGTCGATGTACATCGTTCACCACATACGATACCAGAAACACCCTTTATTGAAACAGTATAATCCATGATGGCAGATCCGTCTAAATTCACTTGAGTGTACAGGACTCCTCTGCTCTCAACAAAAGCGAGTAAACAAATTGAAAGAAGTAACTTTACCATAGTGATTCAAACCAATAACAGTTTAACCCAATTATCTCTTCCTTTCTCAAATTCGTTAATAATCAAAACTAATGCAAGTTTCTCCGTCAGATAAACAGCTTGATCTTCGGTTAAATACTATTTATTAATGGTGATACAAACAAACCTCCCAGATTATTATACAAGTTTGGTAATGTATACTATTGAAAGATGTAGTAGTTTGCATATCTTCAGCTAATGGGAATAAACCAATTATTCATATTAAAAATTAAAATGTTTGAAATTACTCAAGGGTTTGTGACGTCTTACAAAACTTTATTTAATAGTTTATTCTATCATCTTGTAAATGTTATCGATCCCTTCATTGATCGAGATGACCTGGCAGCGGACAAGGTATAGTCGTTCGAATGGGACAAAAAACGGAGGTCTCGTGTACACATTGGCGTGCGCGTGAAGAACCCTTGGCAGTTGGAATTCGAAATAAGTCTTAAGAGTAGGCCGTAACGCCGCTGTCCGGGCAACATTTCCCCCTGGCACACTGTATGGCGTATGCCCGTCTTCATTAGCTCGTTCGGAGCAGAACAGTAGGCCGTTAAACTCCATTTCGTTCCATTTCATTTTGTAAATGCTGTATTTTTTTATGCATACTATAGAACAGTAGCAGACATTTTGGTGAAAAGACTATCTTATGGAAACGTATGTAAACCACGTGTTTAGGTTAAAACTATCTGTTTATGCTGCTGATATGCACAGATGTAAATAAACTAATCGCGGTACCCCTCATGTAAATTTGCACGCGGTCCCATGACGATTTACGCACAATAAAATATGGTTTTAGATTTAATTTGATGTTTACCGGGCTTGTTGAATTTCCTTCATGTACACATATTGAGTCAGGGGTGGGGTTGGAGGTCGGGATGGGTGTGGTGGCAGAATAGTAAACGCGTGGGCGTTGCAAAATAAGGTCTGGCATTGAGTTAATTGGCGTGGTTTCGATTCCCCGCTTGTACGTGACAAGGAGTAGGCTCGCCTGTCCAACCTTGTGGGCTCTGTCCGAGTCCTCCGGTTTTCACTCACTGCTAAAGACCCCTACGCGCAAGCGAATTATTGAAAGCAATTGAACTATATATTAGTCTCGAAATGACTTACTTTGTGTCGAGTGGACGTTAAACCCCCTCCCCCTCCCTCTCTCAATCTCTCTCTCTCTCTCTCTCTCTCATTGGGTCAATGGGATATAAATCTTTTCTGATAACATTTATTTCATTTATACTTACTTTGACAAATGCACTTCAACTAGGTTTATATGATTTCAAGATCATTCAAGATGCATTATGTAAAATTAAATAAGCGTATTTAATTGGTCATCCAGTGAAAAGAACGTTTAAGAGAATAGAACAAGTAGTGTTAAGCATGTCGATGTAAAGGTCAAGTTGTGTTATAAAACTCTACCTGCTTTGTCTAAAGCAGTTTAAAATCAATTTTTAATTGCACGAGTTGAATCTGCCCATTTGGCTTCAAATGTCATATAAATGATTAATTAGGCATGGAGGTACATAACAAACCCATAATCACCAGTCATGTCAATCGGCTGGCCGTAATATTGAATGGGTTAGAACTATTATAGCAAGAACGGCCAGCTCTGTATCTAAATATTACATAATGTTTCGGGTAGGGGGGGGGGGGGCGTGGATAGACGAATGGTTAGCGCGTGCGCGTTGAATCATAAGGTCTGTCACTGAGTCAACAGGCGTAGTTTCGATTCTCCGGTTGTGCGCGACAAGGAGTAGGATCACATGTCAAGCCTCGTGGGTTTTCTTTGGGTCCTCCGGTTTCCTCCCACTGTTAAAGACCTCAAAACAAAGGTGGGTTGGATGTCCGAATGATAAGCGCGTGCACGCTGCATCATAAGGTATGTCATTGAGTCATTTAGCGTGGTTTCGATTCAGCGGTTGTACGTGACAAGAAGTAATGTCGCTTGTCCAGTCTCGTGGGTTTTCTCCGTTTTCCTCCCACTGGTAAAGACCCCTACGGCAAGCGAATTATTGAAATAAAATTGAACCATATGTTGGTCCCGAAATGACCTATTCTCTGTCGAGTTGACGTTAAACCTCTCTCTCGCTCTCTCTCTCTCTGCAAACAAAAATTATGTTAGCGGACAAGAGATGGGTTGAAGGTATACGATCATCTTGTTCAAAGCCTCAGATGTTTAACGGACCCATGCTTAGTAGAAAGTTCTGCAAACTTGTGTTCATGTGGTAATTGTTCATTTTTTGTTCCAGTCCCAACTTCCCTGGGAAAAATCTACATCAAAATATTAGAACCTGTTCATCGTTGCCGTTATATAAGAAAAACGTATTAATTTTTTTAAAGTTTTTAGTCGCGATCGGTATATACATCATTTTAATTTTTGTATAGTAATGAAAGTTTAGGCATTAATGAAATTGATAAGATTTGTTTATGTTTCTTTTTTGAATAGGCAAAGCTAATAAAAAATTTAAAATGCCACAAATTCTTGCCCTCTTGTAAATCCCTTGCCCTACCAGGTTTCCAAACAAGATTATCCACACAGAGAAACATGACCTTATATCTTGACCCGGAACATCCCAAAACAACACCTGTCTAATCTAAGCCTACTGTATTCTACTTTTCACTTTAGTCATATTTTAATTTATTCATGTCAGTAAGAGAAGCGCCAATACGCATACCAAGCCAAACTGCAACTTGAAAAGTAGAAATTTGGAAACAAACACAACGCGATATTAATTTGGTTTTCTGTTGCGATGTCAACTTTTCGAGTTTCGCCACGGAAGTTGTTCTGGTCTCTACATTCCAGGTCACATTTGAATACATTTAATTCGCGTTAACAAAATGGTCTGTGTGATAAAGTCTATTATGGATGTCCATGCTATCGACCTATTATTTTGGTTTCCTGTCGTCGTGTTTGGTGACAATGTATATGTTTTCGGGGGCGAAACGAAGATTTTATTCTGCCATTTACATGTACAATTGTGTAAAATGTTCACCTATTTAGCATATTTCCGGGATTGCTGCCAATTATAAGAAGGAAAGTAGGGCGATGTTCTGATTTTGATTAAGAGGTCCATTTTTTGAATTCCCATGTGTACAGACAAATCGCTGAAAAGTTTTGGGAAAACCACGTAAATGATCTCGTACGTGACGATTTCTCTTCACACCATGGATCCCGACGTTGTTCATGTTCATCTCCTTTTCAGGTTCTGTCAAGGAAAGTTGTATAGTTGTTCGGATGGGACGAAAAAAAGAAGGTCCGGTGTACACACTGGCGTGTACGTAAAAGATCCCTTGAAAGTTGGAATTCGATATAAGACAGAGAGAGAAAGAGAAATTGGGTTTAACGTCCACTCGACACAAACTTGGCTCATTTCGGGATTAAGAAATGGTTCAATTTTATTTCCATAAATCGCTTGCTCGTAGGGGTCTTTAGCAGTGGGAGGAAACCGTAGGACCCAGAGAAAACCCACGAGGTTGGACAGGCGACCCTACTCCTTGTCACGTACAACCGGGGAATAGAAACCCCGCCAGTTGACTCAATGACAGACCGTATGATAATTCGATATAAGAGTAGTCCGTAGCGCGGCTGTCCGAGCAAAATTTCCCTCATAGCGTATGGCGGATGCCCGTCATCGTTAGGCCAGTCGTGGCAGAACAATAAGACGACCGCCTTGTTATAACACCATGTCCAAAAAATCTGAATTTACAGCAACAAAGAGCGGTTAATTGACTTGGTTGAAGAGAATCTGTGTTTGTAAACACACGAATGAGTACGTATATGTACACTTTACGCAACAACAAACCGCTGCGGAAACTTTTTTTCGCGATCGGACACGCTTACAAGTAAACGGTCTCATTACTTTTGATATAGACCGACTTTTTCGTCGGCGAAAACTCGTACATCGAAAGCGGGCCCAATAGAAGATTTAAAATATCACAAATTCATGTCCTTCTGTAAACCCTTGCAACTCCCTCGAAAATACTTTTTTTAAAAAGATTATCAAAATAGACAAACATGACTTTGTATCGTGACCAGGAACATCTGAAAAGAACACCTGTGTATTTTAAGTCTCTATAACAGTTTCTATAGCTATTGAATATACAATGGCGTGAACTGTGATTCAAGGCTCCACCCTGTATTTATTACACACAATGATGAAACTATCAGCTTAATATAGATAGACTGTAACGTCTGTGGGCCGTTCTTGTAAGTATGTTGTTATTACAATATTATTTAGAAAAAAATGTAAACTTGAATTGCCTAATTAGATGCTCATCTATCGGATTTTATTGATCGTGGAAGATTATGTACGTCAACTATCCTTTATAAAACAATGGTTCCTACTTTGACAACAATTGGGGGTTGGGATGACCTAGTGGTCTAGAGTGTCGCGCCTCGACCACTAGCTGACCGGTCACCTCTGGCTTGCGATTGTGGTTTCGATCCCTGGCGTGAGCGGATGTGGCTTGGAGATAGGGGCGCCTTCTCAACCTCTGCGTGTGCGCAAAGATAAAAAAAAAGAAAAAAAAAAGACAACTTGTCTGCGATATCACCTTCGGTGGAAGCGGACGTTAAACACTAAGAACAGATACATTGACAACAATTTTATTTAATAACAAAATTTGCTATAGAACGTTGCTTTGTATTCTGTATCGAATAACATGCAGAGGAAAGGCGTGGATATATACATTGATCTACGATGTATAATCAATTATCAAGATTAGCTGTAGCATTCGTTGTTTTCTTAATTATTATTATCATCATTCACTTTCTCCATAAGGGGGTCACGGTGGCTATGGGAATAAGACGCTGGGTCGCTAGCCTAAAGGTCGGGTGTTCGATTACTGCATTGGCTGAAAAAGTTCATCCAGATTCTCCGTCGTGATTCTGACAAGGACAGCTGTCTTGTCGTTCGGATGGGACAAAAACCCGAGGTCCCGTTTACACATTGGCATGCACGTAAAAGATCCCTTGGCAGTTGGAATTCGATATAAGAATAGGCCGTAGCGCCGCTGTCCGGGCACAATTTCCCTCATAGCACACTGTATGGCGTATGCCCGTCTTCATTAGCCCAGTATAGGAGTTGGACGTTAAACCCCATTTCATTTCATTTCTATATTTGAGGCATTAACACCTCGATTTTTAAGACTTATTTAGGAGGAGGATCCCCCATTGCCATACGTCAACTACTAATGCGATATGATGTAAAACAACTTTTAAAATTATATAATATATACATACGATAACGCGGGCTACTCTTATATCGAATTCCAACTGTCAAGGGGTGTTTTACGTCGAGCCAATGTGTACATGGGATAATGAGTGATTCGTGGCTCATATAACATTATATAGACCCGAATATAACATTTAGTTTCACCCGCTACATCTCTCCTGAACCAACAAAAAGTTCACATTTACATGTTACATAGACATAGAATAATAAATTAATATTCTATACTATTATTTCGGTTTGGGTAGGGCATCCCATCTGTTTTCGCCACTATGTACAGTTGTAATTAACATCACAGGTATGAACTATGTCCTTGGTTTGTAAAATAGTTGTGTGTCATTCAAACAGGTTATTATACTTAGTTATTGTAATAAATAGGTTAGCGTGTCTGTAATACAGAGATGATAGGTTTTTCCTTCAGTAAACATTATAATGAAAAGGGTTCTAACGTCCTATTGTTCTGCTTCTATACTGGGGTATTGAAGACGGGTATACGTCATAGAGTGTGCTATCAGGTAAATTTTGCCTGGTCAGCGGCACTATGACCTACTCTTATATCGAATTGCAACTGCCAAGGATCTTTCACATGCACGCCAATGTATACATGGGGCCTCCATTTGATTTCTTTTTTCTTCATTACAATTTCCACTCCTCGTCATTCTGTGCTTGATAAAGACTGGAGAACCCTCGTCGAAACGTCGCTGAAATAAACTCTTCAAGTAAATTGTATTCCATATAATTGTGTCATGTGTTACAGTATTGTTTTGTTTTTGCCATATATCTATCTTGGTGTGGAAATTACATATTTATAGATGTTTTGTTTCAGTTTAAATATTTGTTAGGAATTTAGCCTCATTTCTTTTCTGAACTAAAGGTTTACAGCTATACTAATATAGAAATACTGTATTGAGAGAACTTATATATGCCCTTAATTGCCAGTGAAAAGGAACAAAATAAAAACTGTTTTTCATATAGCGACAGTGGTGATGACGATGAGGACTGATATATTTCTTTAAAGTGAAACGTAACTGCGTAATTTTGATTTTCAATTTTTGTTATACTTTAATAAATAATTGTACAAATCTTCATCATGTTTTCTAACCATTTGCTTTCATACCAACCCCGTTACAGCATTTAGTTTTTGCTTTATATCTATATTTCTAAAATCAATTACACATATAGATACTGTTTCGGGTTAAATATGTTTGGAATTTGACCTTAAATCATATCTGAAATAAAGGTTTACATGTAGTAAAACATACTGTAGGGGCTACTTGAAAGGGTAGGAGGGGGGTTGGATGGCCGAATGGTTAGCACGTGCGTGCTGTATCATAAGGCCTGCCATAGAGTCAACTGGCGTGGTTTCGAATCCCCGGTTGTACGTGACAAGGAGTAGCGTCGCCTGTCCAACCTCGTGGGTTTTCTCCGGGTCCTCTGGTTTCCTCCCACTGCTAAAGACCTATACGCGCAAGCGAATTATTGAAATAAAATTAAACCATATGTTAGTCCCGAAATGACCTAGTTTGTGTCGAGTGGACGTTAAACTCCATTTCTCTCTCTCTGAATGGGTATGTGTGTTTATATTATAGTGGAAAAGATCACATGGTTTCAATGCGATTTACAATGCCACTGGCATATTCTGGTTTCCATTTCCACAAATGTCTAACATATCTCACGCTAATCTGGTCCACCCATCCCATTATTTCTGGACAAACACCTGCCAACCAACCTTCGTAGGCTCCTGGGATCCCATTAACGATGTACATATTGGGCTGGTGTGTCCACACTGGTTCGAATGGTTAGCACGTGCGTACTGTATCATAAGGTCTGTCATTCGAGTCCGCGGTTGCACGTGACAAAGAGTAGGGTCGCCTGTCCAAACTCGTGGTTTTTCTCCGGGTCTTCCGGTTTTCTCCCACTGCTATAGACCCCTACGCGCAGACGAATAATTGACATAAAAGCATACCATGTGTTAGTCCCGAAATGACCTAGTTTGGGTCGAGTGGGTGGACGTTAAACTCTCTCTCTCTCTCTCTCTCTCTCTCTCTCTCTCTCTCTCTCTCTCCCCCCCCTCTCTCTCTCTCTGTTAGGCTATGGGAATAGATAGGATTAAGACTATTTTAGAAATGTTGATAATGTTAACGGTTCTCTGGTTGGATATCGCAACATGTTGGAATCAGACCACTTTAGATATCTCCAGATTATTATTGGCTTAACGAACAGAGTTTAACAAGCTGGTGGGTTGCATATTGGAATGTAGATATTATTATAAATGACGCGTGATGTATCTCTAATAATATTCCCGTATTTTATGTTACAGAATAAAAGATGTGGATAAGATTATTGATATTGGTCATGATGTTGGCGTCAGTTTATACTTTAAACCAATTCGTAGATATCGATATGGTGAACCAACCCGTAGACAGCGATATGGTTAACCAACCTATAGACAGCGATACTGTTAACCAACCCATAGACAGCGATACTGTTAAACAATTCGTAGACACCGATACTGTTAAACAACCCATAGACAGCGATACTGTTAAACAACTCGTAGACAGCGATGCCTTTAAACAACTCTTAAACACTGATGTGTTTAAACAGCTCGTAGATACTGATATTGTAAACCAACCCCTGGACATGAATACGTTAAATCGACCCATAGACATCGATGCGTGGAACAAATTTGTAGATAGCGGTACTTTAGACCGATACGAAGACAAGTCTAGTAAGTTTAACATCAGACTATATTCGATCGGCTAAACTATACAGTTATTTCTATGATCATAATAACATGTATCTTTATATCAATATTATGTATAGCTGTATTTTAATACCAAAACAGTTGAGTCTTGTTTTAACTCTTCATCCTGATACAACTAATCTTCTAGAAATGTGTGTAGCTGTTTGGAGTAATTGTAATTTACCAACTGGAACAACTTTACGTCCTTTACTCAACAATGTCTAATTCAACCATTTATTTTTCTATTTTCAGCTGTTAGTGAGAGTAAACCCCATCTAAAGCTTAGTTACATGTGGTTACTAAAACTATGATGTTGGTATCACAAGTTAATAGGTACAAGGCCTCTACCCCGCTACTGTTACTACTGGAAAGATGACAGGAAGCTACAAAACAATCAATACAACGGATTTTTTATCCACAGATTGAGACTGTACTTTCTACGGCCTTGTTGGTTTTTGTTTTCTTTGTTTTTTGAAGGCCCGATGCGCCATTTGCATTTTCGCTAAAAAATATCATATTCTCACGGCTTAATACACGCTAAATATTTCATATTCTCACGGCTTAATGCACGCTAAAAATATCACATTTTCACGGCTTAATACACGCTAAAATATCACATTTCCAAGGCTTAATACAAGCTTAATACAAGCTAAAAATATCATATTCTCACGGCTTAATACACACTAAAACTATCATATTCTCGTGGCTTAATACACGCTACAAATATCATATTGTCAGTGCTTTACACTCTAAACAATATCATATTTTCAGGGCTTAATACACATTAAAACTATGACATGCTCATGGCTTAATACACATTAAAACTATCACATGCTCACGACTTAATACACGCTAAATATGTACACAGACTGATTATTTAACATTTAATTAAGACAACAAAATCAAAATATCAACACTAGACGATCGCGGCTTGGATAAAATCGGATGTAACTTAAATCAACCTTACCGTCGAATGTTGATATTGACCAGTAGGAGATTTAAGACACAATGCTGTCGGACGCCATTTGTAATGAGCGACTCGGTGAACGCCGTTAAACATATTACACAAGGGAAGACTACCGGAGTGCACTGGAATAACCAGACGCCATAGACTGCCATTCAACATGCACTCTTCGCGTATTTCGCCGAACATAACTGATCAGTTTATAAACATTCATATTACATTATTATATGCGTTGCGACCCATTTGTGTCCATGTCTAGGTGCCAAAGAAAAGTGATTTAGCTCCTTTAATAGTTAGCAAATACGAAGAATGCCTGGAACGATTTCAGATGCTCACCAGTGGTTAATTTACGTTATTTTCCTGGCTAAAATTGTATTTTGTATTATAGTACCGTATCCATTTGTAAATTATCTGCAGTTCTTAAATGTATCTTAAATTAAATTTTAAAAGAAAATCGATATTGATTTTATCGTATTATTTATTACTTATTATATTGTTTCTAGTCACACGGGTGGGACGAACAACGGGGACCAGGTGTACACATTGATGTTCACGTAAATGAGTACTGGATATGGACCGGGTATTATTCAGATTTGATGAAAAAAGGGCAGAAACCATGCTTACCATCTAGAATCGAATACACGTATCCAGTTAATAGATTGCCGCCCAGAAAGTGTTAAATACCGTCAAGATTCATCAAAAAATGCCCAGTTTGTGCTACCGTGTAGTTTAAGTAACACGGTTTAGTTATGTAGTTTTCGGGACGTGGTTTCCCCTTGTCAGTTGTGCAGAACGGAGGGCCTGACAAGGGCAGCTGTCTAGACCTTCGGATCAGACGATAAACCGAGGTCCCGTGTATTCATTGGAATGCACGCGAAAGATCCCTTGGCAGTTAGAATTCGATATAAGAGTAGACCGGAGCCCAGTATAGGAGCAGAACAGTAGGACGTTAAACCCCATTTCATTTCATTTCAGTTATGTAGTTAAAGAAACTAGACGACCGATTTCAAAACTAAACGGTGTTTCTTAAACTACACGGTAGCACAAACTATGCACGTGTATTAAAGTCTACATGGAGGTAGACCACCATAATTTCCCCATTGACTTCGATGTTAATTCTGGCCTCTTTGCCCACATCCAACTTTTCCCAAAATTTTCGTTGGTCTGAATGCTTTTTACTACAGACAGAGGAAGAAATGTTCATGTATTTGCACTAAAATTTGTATGGGGTTGACCACCAAAATTTTGAGATACACAATTTTTAAGAAGCATACTAAAAACATGTAACTAGTTGCGTACATATCAACGTAGCCAACCTGATGAATCCGTTATCCTTCCAACTCAAAATCATGAATTTTTACCAAAACCTGGCAGAAAATGTTAATTCAAATCCTCTTCATCCATCCTAGACCACAAAAATGGGCATGCAAAAGGGGAGAAAAGAGACAGAGAGAGAATTGCTATAAATAGACGAACTACGGGTACCGAGATGATGAAATTTAATGGTGGTCTCCTAGTTCGTACAGTAGGCCTCGGCGCTTCTATAGTGACAAAATTTCCTTCATGTCCGTTTTTATAGTCGAATATCGCTCAGTAATAAGCAGTAATTGTATTCCATAGAATTGTGAGCTGTATGTCCATTATCCCAGTCGGTGCAGAAAAGTAAGACGTTTAACACTATTTCATTTCATTTACTTTCTATGTATGTGAGTTCTATTGGGTCTCTATTAGGCTATACCCGTGTGTTTTGTCTGGGGTGTTTCTATTAGGTTGTTACTACATGCAGGCTATACCCGTGTGTTTTGTCAGGGGTGTTTCTATTGGGTTGTTACTGCATGCAGACTATACCCGTGTGGTTTGTCTGGGGTGTTTCTATTGGGTTGTTACTACATGCAGGCTATACCCGTGTGGTTTGTCTGGGGTGTTTCTATTGGGTTGTTACTATATGCAGGCTATACCCGTGTGTTTTGTCTGGGGTGTTTCTATTGGGTTGTTACTACATGCAGGCTATACCCGTGTGTTTTGTCTGGGGTGTTTCTATTGGGCTGTTACTACATGTAAGCTTTAATTACATTTAAAAACTTCAAATAAAACAATTTTATCGCCATATTATTGGCAACATAAACATCGGGGAAAGCCTATAGAGTCCATTTACTGCACAGCTAAAATGGTTTTCTCTAGAGAAAACTATCAAAAATATTAGCACCTGTTCATCTTTGGCGTTATTTAAATTTGCAAAAGCAGAGGTGTGTCCTCGGTTATATATCACCTGAGTGACATTTGTAGGATTTTAAGTTGAGAGGGAGAGAGAAAAGCGAGAGAAAAGGGGCTTACGTAGGTGATTTCGGGACTAACATATGGTTCAATTTTATTCCAATAATTTGCTGGCGTGTAGGGGGTCTTTAGCAGTGCGGGGAAACTGGACGACCGGCGAAATCGAAACCACGCCAGTTGACTCAATGACAGGCCTTATGATACAGCGCACACGTGCTAACCATTTAGCCATCCAACCCCCCTATATAAAATATAAAATAGATTTGATGTAAAATATCTATAACAACAGACAACATGAGGAACTAGTTAAAAGAGTATATAGAATGGGTAAAAGGCAACATTCTACCCGGATCTTTTACGTTACTAAATCTTATGTAAACAATAATCGGCGCGTGTGATGTGACGTCACACATGGAAGGCATTTGTAATACCTCTGTGAAACAGATAGATATTTTCTAACTAAGAAGTTTCAACCGGAACTATGAAATTAGCATGTGCAACACAGTGGGGAAAAACGCAATCCCCGTCACATGTGCCAAAGTGTAATGGTTGGGTATTGCATTTTCAATTTAGAAACATATAAACCGAACTGCGTAATAAGGATGCAAAACGCGGTTATACACGCTGCTGTACGATATATGATTGGTTATCAAGACTTTTTGGAATCATTACTAAATTTGAAGGTTAATAGCTTTATCTATTAGTAGCATAAGCTGTCTTCATAACTATTCTTATCATCCATTGTCTCCATAATTCAAATGTTAATTTTATCAATTATTGTCATTCATTCTGTTCATAATTTGAAGGTTGGTTTTGTTTATCGTTATCATTCATTTTCTTTATAATTTATAGATTAATTTTGTTTTTTTAACTATTCATGTTCGCCATAATTTGAAGGTTCCCTTTTCGGTAATCTCAAAGATGGATGTGTTATTATAATAATGTATGGAATTGAGAAGTCTTAAATTTGTGTCATCATGCTATCTGCAAACAAAGCAGCTATTTTATTGTTTGTTTTGTTTTATTCCGGCATAGTGGAGCTTTAAGAAATAAATACGACAATTACAAAAACATTAGCGCATGACACAATTGTATAGAATACAAATTACTTAAGAGATTAATTTTTGGCGATTGGCAACCAAGTGGGTTTTCTGGTTTCCTCAAACTGCTATAGACCCCTACGCACTAACGAATTATTGAAATAAAATTGAACCATATGTTAGTCATGACATGGCCTAGTTTATGTCGACGGGCTTGATAAAGGATTTTAAAGTAACTTTGTTTCCATATACATGGAATTGTGTCTTGTGTTCTCCCCACCTTGTTACTAAATGCCGCTTAAACAATTTAATGAAACATTCCTATGATATTTTAAACTCTGCATGATTAATGAAAATACTTCATTTAATTCCAGTTCTGTTTTGTAATACCTGATTACAATAACTAATTTAAAACAATTGTTATTTTAGCTCTTGTCAAAAAGCCATTGTTGGTGCACAACCTATGTTTTCAAGTACGTAATTAACCAACGAAATAAATTTTTGATTAGATAATGTTAAAAGTTGTTTTACATCATATCGCGTTACATGGACATAAAATAAAGAAATATTTTTTACTATTAATCCTATCTTGATTCCCCACTATATATAGTTGTAATTAACATCACGACTCATGTTGGCAGGTGTGAACTACGTCCTTCGTTTGTAAAAAAAAAAAAGTTTTGTGTCATTCAAACAGGTTATACCAAGTTAATGTAAGTCGTAGCTAGAAAGTATCAAATAAGAAAGCTTGCGTGTAAAACAGAGAACATAGGTTTTCCCGTCAGTGTCATTCAAACCGGTTATACCAAGTTAGTGCAAGTCGTAGCTTAAAAGCATCAAATAGGTGAACGTATGATACAGAGTGGATCAGTTTGTAACTGGTAAATCGGAATTCGAAGTATTGAGAATAGTATTAGTTTATTTATTAACAGTTCTGTAGGAGGTAGGATTCCGATTAGTATTTACTTTAAGGGTATATTGGATTATGTTGAATATCCGGGAATAGATAGGATTCAGAGAACAGTTAACTTCTTGAGGATAATATTGCTTTGCTGAAAGAGAGAGAGAGAGAGAGAGAGAAATGGGGTGTAACGTGCACCCGACACAAACTAGGTCATTTCGGGACTAACACATGGTTAAACTTTATTTCAATACTTCGCTTGCGCGTAGGGGTTCTTTAAGTTGAGAGAGAGAGAGAAGAGAGAAAAATGTGGTTTAACGTCCACTCGACACAGACTAGGTCATTTCGGGACTAACACATGGTTCAATTTTATTTCAATAATTCGCTTGCGCGTAGAGGTCTTTGGCAGTGGGAGGAAACCGGAGGACCCGGAGAAAACCCACGACGTTGGACAGGCGACCTTACTCCTTGTCACGTATAACCGGGGATTCGAAACCCCGCCAGTTGACTCAATGGCAGTCCATATGATACAGTGCAGCGCGCACGTGCTAACCATTTCGGTCATCCAACCCCCCGCTAAGTGTTATAGTATTTCCAGTATTTCGTTGACATTCATTGTGGGGTGTAATTGTGGATGGCGCCTTAGATTTGGAACCGCCCCATACCCACCCCCTATTCTTAGCTTCCAGATCAGCTACTGACCCCTAGAAAACTATCAGCTGTGGTGGTCGGCCCCTGACTGCGTCACTCGTATTAGGGACATGTGCATCAGTCAGTCGCAGTTTTGCTAAACACCCTTCTCCCCCCCCCCCCCCCAACAAAATCTTTATGTACCCCCCTGATGATGATAAGTACACGAAAACTGTGCGTTGTCCCCAGCCAGGTCAACAGTCCTGCACCACTGACGAGGGATAACCACACCACGAGGTATGTTGTTAATGAGTACAAATACACTCTATTGTCGCTCATTGAGTTCCGGGGGGGGGGGGGGGCGAATAGTTAGCGCATGCGCGTTGTATTGTTACGTCTGTCATTAAGTCACCTGGCGTGGTTTCGATTCCCCGGTCGTATGTGACAAGGAGTAGCGTCGTCTGTCCAACCTCGTGGGTTTTCTCCGGGTCCCCCGGTTTCCTCCCACTGCTACAGACCCCTACGTGCAAGCGAATTATTTAAATAAAATTGAATCATATGTTAGTC